GTTTGTCCCTTCTTGCGCACTGCAAAATCAGTCGCAGAAATCCTGGCATATTATTTTTCGCGAGCGCTTCTAGGATATATAACACGTTTATCATTTCGACCCGTAAATAAAAAATTAGGTAGTTGTTCTATACCCTTTGTGGTTCATCCAGGTAAAAGTCCTGGCATATTATTATGCCTGGTCGCTTCTAGGATATACAACAAGTTTAGCATTTCGACCCGTAGAAAAACGTTATCCTTTTTGGTTCATATAGGTAGAAGTCCTAGTATGTTATTATGCCTGACTAAGCGCTTCTAGGATATCTAATGAAACGCTTATTATTTCAAGAACCGGAGAAAAACCGCCGAAGCAACAGTCATAAATGTAACTTGCTAGAGGATTTGCCGAAAGAAATCATCTGATTTGAGCACAATTTATAAAAACTAGCGTCAGATTTTTGGCATTTAGAAAGATATCTTCTAATTATTTTTTTATCTCAGGTAATTTTTCTTTTTCTTTTGATTCAAATTAATTAGCATACATTACCATATCCAAAATCAAAAGTAAACAAAAATTACCGAAGATAAAACATTAACTACAACATATACAAGCACTGCTACTAGCATATTATGCTACTTTTACGAGCACAATTTATCATCAATCAGCTCGCCACCATCCTCGTCTTCACTTCCCCTCGGACACCTTATCGTGGTAGAGTAAATATGTGTGAGGAGTTGTTTGAGTGCGTGATTGGTTCCTTTCTCATGTATATAGTCTTTTTTCCACTGTTAATACTATTTAGTTAATGTGTTACTAAATTATTATAACTTAGTGGAATGAAGGGTTCGATTCCCTGGCGAAGGGCTGGCTCCTGTTTGGAGGAGCCCTTCCATTTTGGCTGTCTCTTGAAAATTTCTAGCTGCGCGCCTTTTAACTATTAACAAATTGTACTAATCTAACTTGGAACACAATGGTTATGATACCAAGCAAAATATAATGCATGGTTTCTTTTGTACTGGATTCCGAACCCAAAAAGGCGCTGTAAATGGACTTTGCTTTGTCGTTCTCAATGTGTATCGTATCATATTTATCAATTCCACATAAATTAACGAGATTCCACTCTGTGATTCGCTGTCATCATCGTTTCTTAGGGTGATCCGGGGCTTCAAACCTCACAGTCCTGCTAACCTGCTTCTTGCCTCTGGGTCTGAAGGAGAATAGAAAGTTACTTTAAAAATCTGTCAGTTGGGTAAGGTATATTTGTCTCAATCTTTTGAGAAAAATCCTGAAAAGCCCAAAATCAGGGTCTATTAACATTTCGTTCGGTAAATGAGATTCCGGTCCTGAAGGCAAAAACGAAAACAGGGTCTGGTTTCTCCTATGAAAGCAAACTATAGAGTTGTCTTGGTAACGATTATCTAATCAAAACTGTCAATAATCAACAGACGAGCTGCAGACAGTGATCCCAGCGCTGCTTCCGAGAATAAGACAGTGGTGGCGTTATTTCCTGCGGCCAAAGATGAGTCTTTTAGCCCTAAAATAGACTTCTCCAGCCGCTCAGATAGTGCGGGTGGCGCAAAGAATAGTAAGCAGGAAAAAATGAAGGGGTTGGGGCTTAGGTCGGAGAGGGAGAAGAAACCCTCCTCTCTCCCTCTTCCTTTCTTCCTCTTTTTCCCTGCTCTTCGTCATACTGATCAGTCATGAGGTATGAAAAGCAATTTCGCAATTGCAATGGCCTTACGCGTAAATTTAAACTATCAATCGAAAGAGCCAATAATTTGCTTTTACACCAATTAGCCTTTTTTAAGTATATATTTTGCTGAAAAAAAAAACCAGTGCGGGATTAAGAACTGGGCCTGATCTGAGGCCAACCTCGATGGATTTCCAGAACGTATATAACCGAGAACAGCCAGCGCGGGCGTCGCCACTTGGGCAAGTCTATATTTTTTCGTTGATTTTTTGTTCTATCTGGTACTGCTAAGAACCTTATATTTTGCCTCAATAGGAGTATACAAAGATAGTCTTATTAATGGAGCAGAGCATGGATGGAGCATTTTCTTGAACTAGTGACAAGTAATCCGTCTGAGACAGTCACTCAGGTTCAATTTTGCCCATAACTTTTACTTTATCTGCCTCATGAACACTCTCGACTTTTCTTGGAACTGAGACGGCCACAAACTAGACAAAACGTGCCTTACGCTTTTGAACTCTATCCCTTGTACTTTTTCCCTTTTTCAAACCAGGCGAACTTTACTGATTTTAAACCTTGGAGAAGTAACCCAAAGATTTCCCCTATTTTCACATCAAAGTTGTAACACAGCTACAATAAGTAAAAATTCAAAAATTATAGCTGTATATTCGATCGACAGTTTACATGGACATACCTAGATCTTAAGAGAACTACACCATCTACTTTAGTTTTCTCAGTCACATCGCTCCACGTCAGGCCATTATCTGTTGAGTACTCAACCTTTAGTCCTGGAAGTATAGTTTTGACTTGCAGTTTTCCATCAACTATTCTACAAAAGAAACCATAAGTTGATACTATGAGCACAGTTCAGTGATTTTTGGAAAACAAATGGTCTTCATTATATGTTTGTTTTAGTCCAAACGTGGCTTATGCGGTGTTCGGAGAATCCTGTCTCGAGGCTAGTCTCTTACTCAACCGTTTTTAACTTGTCATGCAACGTTCCTCTCCTATAAATGTTGCCTTGAAGTGTTTAGGTATCTGAAGTATATTCATTAGCATATTACGTATGAAGTGTGACATCATCATCATCATCATCATCATCATCATCTTCACAATCTCATTCCCTTGAATCCACCCTAATTAATAGACGGATTTAGAAATGACAGCACGATGGCATATGAGAGCGGAAAGGATAATCTTATACCCAGATCTCCCATGGCCAAGGAAAAACAAAGATCTCTCTTTTTACGGTACTAGAGACAGTGAGATCTGGGCAAAGGATTACTGAAAGGACAAAACGCAACTTTGGGTGCTTAATCCGCGCGCGCTGTCTTCACTGCCGTCGCGTTTTCATTTCTACTAAAAAGAGAAAAAGGGGCAAATAATAGATAGTACATTGACCAAAGCTAAGAAGCCAAGTGATTGACTTTCATCAGTCACGTGGGTGTTATAATGAGTTAGTCATGTGGTTTACAATGAGGTGACTGGTTTTCGCGACAGATGGCGGGATAGATCACGTGGCCGTTAGTTGGTTAATGAAGTGTTACTTCCGTCATTGATGACGTTAGCATGACGTCAATACATTTAAAGCAGGTCAAATGTTATTACATTTAGGGCCGTTTATTAGTATAGGTAATAGCATGATTTGTATTGATATTTGGCATAAATACCACGAGTGATATTTCAAAATTGTTTTACGTAATTTCACGAGCCGTTAGGCGAGTGAAATTTGAGACAATTTTGAAATATCACGAGTTGTATTTATGCCAAATATCACGTACAAATAATGCTGTTATTTGTTTATACTACTACCCGCAAAAGGTTTGTAATTTTCACATGTAGGTATTTCAAATTAAGCTGAAATACCACTGCTCTAAGCCAATCAAATTGCAGTAATTTTTCATGTAGTAGTATAACAACTAGTAATAGTTGACACTACAGCTGCCCCCGTTCTGTGTACTCTCGGTCAATAGTATTCTTGGTCGTTGTGTAGCTCTTTGAAATATAACGATTCATGATGAAGATTTTCACACATATTCCATACAATAGGTGAGATAAATACAGGAAATGCAAGGTTCCACGCACGGTTTCAGCTCGATTTACACAGCTTTGATCAAAACATTCTCAGCTTCGAGAACAGTTTATTCTAAACCATAAGAAAAGATTTAACTAGTAATAGTTGACACTACAGCTGCCCCCGCTCTGTATATTGTCGGTCAATAGTATTCTTGGTCGTTGTGTAGCTCTTTGAAATATACCGATTCATAATGAAGATTTTCACACATATTCCATACAATAGGTGAGATAAATACAGGAAATAAACGCAAGGTTCCATGCACAGTTTCGATTCGATTTACACAGCTTTGATCAAAACATTCTCAGTTTCGAGAATAGTTTATACTAAACCATAAGAAAAGATTTAATTAATAGTTTAATTTTTCGCTATTTCCATTTCACTTTTTACATTTAGTTCATTTCATTTGCCGGAAAGTAAGCCTTAGAAATTAAAAGGACGTTTGATCAGTTCACGCTCTCGCATTCTAGTCTTATTTTAAACTTTATAGCGGAAGGACATCTGTGAGCAGGGAAAGAGTCAGCACAGAATGCGATTGTCGGCAAATTTCTGTAATCGCCCATCTTTCTGAACGTTCTGCTAGTGATAAGCTAGTCTTTGTTCTCTCGTCTTGCTTGTTTGGGGCTAAGTCTTATTCCGGTCAAAGAGAGAGAAAGAGTGTCTTGCAAGGTTTCCAATCAAAGATTTGTGAACTCGTGCCTGGGAAACTTTCCAAGTGTTTATATATACACAATTATAAGCACCTTATAATTTCATCTGCGCTTAACGAGTGTCTTTTGGTCCATAACTTTCAAAACAATTGCTCTACAGCATGTCACTAATAACATGTAACGCAAAAGAGTATCGAAGTATGACTGCACAATAAATGTCACAAAATCTACCTAAGCGGTCCCTGCGGGTTTTTCTGTCTTTACGTCATCCTAACCATTTCGTACTTGCGGGCGCAAACAATAGAAATATCATCATTACCTACCGATTCCTCGCGGCCCCTGTTCAAGCAAGTCGAGATTTTTTCTGGCACACTGACTGTATATTTCAACTGTAAGTACTTTCCTTAATGTACGCGCGAGTTACTAGAGTGCCTCCTCGGGATTTCGCCTTCTGGGCGAAATTCCTACGAGGGCAATTAGGCCTTCAACACATACAGGATATGCTGAGTTCCATTCTTAAACTTGCTCTTTTTTGGTTGTTGTTATTGTTTTTTTTTTATTATTTTATTAATTTTTTTTCATATATTTTCTTTTTCCTATTGGTTCCCGTTCTTCCTTCTTCTAGCCTTTAGCCTTTGCAGAGCGAGGTTCTGCGATTCACTTATTCCTAGTTTAAAAATACTTTTCATTCAAATTCAGAGGAATAAATATTTGAAACACCTTTTATATCATAACTCTTAACCTCTTTTCTTGACATGACCGTATTGTCACTCGGAGGTTTGTATTTTTGTTCTTACTTTTCTACCGACAGGGTATGTTTTAATGGAATAATTGCACGTTATCTTGTTGAGTGAACCAAGACTAACCTTGCCCCTGGAGGTTTTACGTGATACGCTACTCCTAATTGATCTAACCGAGTCAGTTCCTTGTAAGCCAAAGTGTTAGCGAATTTAACCCAATCCTTTGTTCTTTCGCGCGCTCGTAACCTTTTGTCCATGATATTTTCCCATGAAGCTTCGTGCCATGCACGTTCTGCTACGGCCAGGAGTCGCGGAAATAGCATTTTGTACATTTGGTCAGCGGTGCGTACTGTCTCAGTCCAAAACGACCCTTCAATTCCTGTAAATTAATAAGCAAAAACGACTGGCATGAAATCAGGATTTAACATATCCTCTCGGTGTTTTGTGCACAGAAGAAAAAATCAATATCTGTTAAGATATTCTAGTGTATGGAACAATTGATGTAACTGAATTTATTCAATTAAATTTGACAGTTTCAAGTGTAGACAAAGATGGGTTTTCGGATCCGGCTCCTCAGTGCAGTGCACAGAGTATGAAGGTAAAACACTGTGCAAAACAACCTACCGAGGAGATTTTCCACACCGTTTCTAATGTTGTTTGTGTCAATGTGTTCTTTTGGTGAATACTCAAAAACTTTCTGGGTGTCAGTGAAATTAGCCGCCCAATAGTTGCCTCGATCTTCAAAGTCCTCTTCTTGAGGGTGGTCAAGGTACAGGCAGTCAGGAGGGGTTAAAATAACCTGAAAACATCAAATGATAACAGACAAATGATATTATGCAACGGAATTAACAGGAAGCATTCATTGTGTATATTCGCACAGGGCGTCTCCACAGGAGTTATTTGTGACCTTGATAGCAGAGGACAGCAGTTAAATTTTACAGTTGCACAGTGATAGCGCGAATCGGCTTTGCTTTCTTTTAAAACAAATATGAACTCGATCGATCAATCCGTCACGCAATCGTTTTATAAAGCTGCTAAAATAATATCCAAGGCTAAGTGGTAATGAACGTCGCCCGAAGGACAGCACATTCGGAATGCGAAGCTTTCTGAACGTTGCATATTGCCTAACGGGAATGTAACGTAATGACTGTGTGATCCAAACAACCATTGTGAATGGGATGTTTTAGCCTGGGTAAGGGTAGGTGATGGGGAGGAAGGGAAAACGGGAGGGAATTGGGGAGAAAAGGGGAAGAAACACCTGCTCTAAGAACCTCCTTTTGTTTATTTATGCGGACGCTGGCGTCTGCAAATTCCTGATTGGTTGAGCGGTGATAAGTAACTTATCGGCGTGTATTCTGGCGTGTATTAGTGAGAGACAAACATGATGAAAGCATAAAGGAAATGCGTTCTACTGGCATAAGCTTTGGAAGATCAAAATTACTCCAATGATGTAGCTACTTCACGTTAAAGCCCGAACTAGAATTAACTGTAATAGCTCATTTAGCGGGTAGAAATGCTCACGAGGTTTTGTATACTGGATTTCTCCAAACACCGAGCGGCGATTCATACGATGCATACGGTGCGGTAGTTTCGAAAACGAAGACCGAAGCACGAAGCACCCTAAATCTCGAAAACGAAGCACCCCACATCGAAAACGAAGCACCGAAACCTCGAAAACGAAGCAACCTAGATCGAAAACGAAGCACCCAAAAACTCGACACCGGTCTATCCTTTATAAACACGAGACCAATGCTAATACAGCAGGAATCAAGCACGATAACGAATCGAATGCAGTTCAATTCTACTCAAGTTGTAAATGCATTTCCGCCGCTTCGTGGGAGGCCCGGTGGGAGGCCATGTTTTGGACGTGATCAGAAAACCGAGAACGCCCAAACTATTTCTAGAATGTTACTGTATTTCCAGTAAAAGTCAGTTAAATTCGCAGGCTTGAGTCGATGATAGAGAGCTTTAGATTCTAAGACGAGTACGAGATTTTCTTAGTACTAAGTGGTGCTCGCGCGCGAACCAGCGTCATTTTGGCGGGAAAACGTGGTAGCCGTCGTTATTACGAGTCTTAACGATAATATCGAAGCGGCGAAAACAAGAGAACAAATGTTAAAAGTTTGATAATTTTGCGATCGGGAGGGGGCGTAACCTCCTGCACTGGGGAAAACTGGTATAATGAAGCTTAGCTTTCCGGAGAGTCTATATTTTGACTTCAAGTCAAATCTCGTACTCGTAGTCGTCCTCGTCCTCGAATCTAAAGGTTTCTAATATTCTGTAGCTACCCAATATACAGCAGAATACCATTGTTAGAAAACATGTGTAGATAAGTTATGGACTACTGAAACCAGATTTAGATCATTG